TGATGCTGATGATGATGTTTATGCTGCTTCTGATGATGATGATGATGACCGTGCTACTGCGGATGATGCTGGTGATGCTGATGATGCTGCTGCTGGTGTTGATGATGATGATGCTGATGCTGATGCTGATGCTGATGATGATGATGCTGGTGATGACGGTGGTGGTGATGATGGTTATGATGATGAGGTTGACGATGATGATGCTGATGCTGATGATGCTGATTATGCTGATGCGGATGATAGTTATGATGGTGATGGTGCCGGTGACGATGCTGATGTGATGATGATGCTGTGGATGGTGATGGTGATGACGATGATGGTGAGGATGCTGGTGGTGATTATAAGGATGCTGATGCTGATGCTGTTGTTGGTAATGATGATGATGATGATGATGATGGTGATGATGATGATGATGATGGTAATGGTGATGATACTGCTGATGATGCTGCTGATGATGCGGATGGTGTTGATGATAACGATGGTGCTGATGATGATGCTGGTGCTGATGATGATGATGATGACGATGGCCGGGGCAAGACTGTCTGGGTCCCTCTCTCGCTTGTTCCTCTGCTGGTGGTTCCGGCGAGCTTGCAGGCTGCCGCGCCGACCTGGGGGGAGTTCGCGGTGCGCCGGCGCGCCACGTACCTCAGCTTCGAGGTGGGGCTGGAGCGAGGGGAACTGTCTTGGTTCAAGCCGTTGGAGAAGTACATCGAACGGGCACGAACATGGAGAGCAATAGGGGGTGGCTTGTTCCTACATGCTTGCTTGCCGCATTAACGAATTCCCCTTCTCTGCTTCCTCATGCAATTGGACGGCCTGCCGTCGAACTGGAACGACTACGAGCAGAAGGCATGCGCGCTGCTGTTTCCAGGGCGGCGCAGCTGGACGTCGCCGGCCGCCCTGCGGGACCTGCGTTCCTTGGGGTTTCCAGCGCACCTCCCCGACGCCACAGCGGTTCCCTGGCGGCCAAATGCTGGGCTCACCGATGGGGGGCCGACGCCGGCGGCGGCCTGCGGATCGCGAGGCGGCGTCGCATACTGCAAGAGAAGGTCGCTGCGACGGACAGGGTCGTGCAACTTGGCACGCGGTCAGGGTGGTACGAGACCAACTTTCATCCTGAACCGCCACGCGGCCCAGTCCAGCCTCGAGTCCTGCGCTGTGGCGGCGGGCCTCTCGGTCGCCCGGCTGGTCCAGGGCTCGTCCGCGGAGCCGGCGCCCTGGTCGCAGTGGCAGCGGCGGTGCTGCCAGCTGATGACGCGGCCCAGCCAGTTGTGCACCACCCGTGAGCTCTCTCGTTCCATCTTTCGCCTCCCTATGCATCTCTTCCCCAGCCGCCGCACGCCGCGGGCGCTGAAGGTGCTTCACGGTCTTGCGCCGTCTGCGCCTCCTAGGGGCTGGGCTTCTCTCTACAGAGCGTTGTGCGACAGCTGGACGACGGCTCGCCGCTTTAGGCGGCGGGCCCCATGCCCCTTGGGATGCGCACGCGGCGTCGACAGCCTGCTGCATTTTGCGCAATGCCCGCGCGTAGCGGAGCTGGGCTTCAAACGTTTGCATTTATCCCGCCCCGTGCCTGGTGCGCGGCTGGCTGTCGTGTTTCGTGGCCTTGGAGCCGGCATTTTGTGGGAGCGCGGCTGCACTCCTAGCGCGCCGAGCCCTGGCAGCGTATTGTACATGCGCTGTTTCCTGCGCTGCCCGGCATGGCGCCACCGCGGACGCGGCGGGCGCTTGGTGGCAATATGGTCGAGAGGCCTGCGCGGCACACCCGCCATTAGCTGCAATTGTCTCGCAAGCGTGGCGGGAATGAGTTGGTTGCCCTCGCTGTGATGCTTTGTCAGTCCCCCTTCCCTTCTCTCCCCTCTTCCTCGTGGCTCCCCGGGGTGTGTCCCTTCTGTGTGTGTGTGTGTGTGGAACTATGTGCAAAACAGCTGTTTGGTGCTTTGTCTTCCCCCGCCTCGGTTTGGGGCTTGCCCTGGGGGGTGTTGTCTCCTCGTCCCGTCCCCCTTCCCTTCCCATTGCATTCCGTTGTTTTTCCGTACTCAGCAGGTTGCGCTTGGCAGCCCCCCCCCCAGCGCGCCACTGCTTCGTGGCTCATCTTCGTATTGTTCCGCTCCCTTGGCTATCTGACTCGTGGAGTCTCGGGACTGGGAGCGTGTGTTCGCCATGCCCTCGATTTGCGTCTGCCTTCCTCCGTCTCCTCCCCCCCTCCCTCCCCGCCCTGTTTCACCGATGCGATCTGGGGGTACTCCGTATCGTTCCGAGTTTTGCTCCAGAGAATGGGGCAAACAAAAAACTGGAATAACGCTTTTGGTTTGTAAATGCCCGAATTTCCGCCCCGCTCATAGGACACAGGTTCTGCTGGGAACCGTGGTTTTCCTTCCCATGAGCTCGATTCCAGGCGGCGCAGGCGCTGCAGGGTAATCCGCAGTTGTGCGGCGGCGAGGCTTCGGGACACCCTTGCTTCGCGACGGCGAGGCTTTGGGACACGCTTGCTTCGCGACGGCGAGGCTGGAGGACACCTCTGCTTCACGACGGCGAGGCTTTGGGACGCCCTTGCTTCGCGATGGCGAGGCTTCGGGACACCGTTGTCTCACGACGACAAGGCTTCGGGACACCCTTGCTTCACGACGGTGGGGCTGGAGGGCAACACAATGAAACAACAAACGATAGTGATGATAATAATGATGATGATGATGATGATGATGATGATGATGATGATGATGACGCTGATGCTGACGATGAAGATGATGATGATGATGATGATGACAATGATGATGGTGATGATAATGCTGATGCTGATGCTGATGCTGATGCTGATGCTGATGCTGGTGCTGATGATGCTGCTGATGATGATGACGATGCTGCTGATGCTGATGCTGATGCTGATGCTGATGCTGCTGCTGATAGTAATGCTGATGCTGATGCTGATGCTGATGCTGATGCTGATGATGATGATGATGATGATGATGATGATGATGATGATGATGATGATGATGATGATGATGATACTGATGATGATGATGATGATGATGATGATGATGATGATGATGATCAGGAGGAGGAGGAGGAGGAGGAGGAGGAGGAGAAGGAGGAGGAGGAGGCCGAGGAAAAGGGGGGCGAGCAGAAATATCAGAGGCCTCTTGGATGCCTCTTGGAATCTCTTCGGATGTCTTTTGCGAGCTTCATAGGGGGCCTGTTTGGGCGTCTTGGGGGTCTCTTGGCAGTTCTGAGGGCCTCTTGGGGAGTCTTGGGTGCCTCTGGGTGGCCTCTTGGGGCCTCTTGGGGGTCTCTTGGGAGTCTCTTGGGGACCTCTTGGGGGCCTCTTCGGGGCCTCTTGGGACCTCCTTGGCGGCACCTCTTGGATCCGTTTTGGGGCAACCCTGGGGGCCTCGGAGGCCATCTTGGGGCCATCTTGGAAGAGATCGACTAAAGAAGGGCCCGCAGTAAATTATGCCCTCCCCCTCGGAGGCCAACACGTGGTCAGACCCAGAAGCAATGATCTTGGCTTCTTCGCCAAGGCCATCTTAGACGCTCGAACTGCTCGCGAAACGCCCCGTCCAGACCTCGGGGTATTGAAGGTATGAGCTAGGGGTAAACCCCTCCCCGAAGGGGAGAAGGGAATATGGAATAGGAAACGCCCTAAACCACTCACGCCCAGAGGGCTGGTGGGATTTCTGGGCTTCGGTTAGCTGCTCCGGGATCGCGGAACAACACTCAAGACGAACAGCGAGTCCCAGGGAAGGGGCCCAGACCTTTGGTGATTCATCTTGCGGAACAAATGCGACGTCGGATGTCTGGGGAAAGGAGAGGTATGTAGAGAGAGAGAGAGAGAGATAGAGAGAGAGAAAAAAAAAGAGAGAAAGAGAGGGAGAAACAAACAGAGAAAATGAGAGAGAGAGAGAGAGAAGTGCCAGGAGGTGAGGTAGGGGCGCACGCTAGGCGTGCTACGTCTTCTCTGTCTGTCTGTCTGTCTGTCTGTCTGTCTGTCTGTCTGTCTGTCTGTGTGTCTCTCTCTCTCTGTCTCTGTCTCGTTTTTTGTCCGGGCAAAGAGTTCCATGCACTTTGTTGGTATCCGTGCGTCTACGCATGTGTATATGCAGGTATACTTGCATATGCATATGCATAAAGTTATGCAGCTATATGTATGTACAGGTATGTGTATTTGTATGTATATATATATATATCTCTATATATATATATGTATATTTCCATGTATACGTAAACGTTTGTGTACATGTACATGTATATGACATGTACATGTATGTGTACCTGTATGTGCGTATGTTTAGGTACGCGTGTTTACATATGTATATGTTAATGCATATGCTTATGTGTATGCAACTGCATATATATACATATATATATATATGTATATATATATATATATATATATATGTACGCACATGTGTATGTGTATGCGTTTGCCTATGCATATGTATATGTACATGTATGTCGACATATATAAGTATGTGTTTGTATTTGCATGTGTCGTTGTAGTATGTGCATGTGTAGATGTGCATGTATGTGTGTAGCTATTTGTGTATGTCGATGCATGTGTATATTTATAGGTGTATGTATAATTAAATGTATGTATATATCTCCAGAAGACGCGCCTCCACGCGCGCGGCCCCCGGAACCACTAGCAGCGCGGCCCTCGAATTGTGCCCCTCGGGGTGGTCCGTGCCCGGTCTGTCTGTGTCCTCTGCCCCCGCCTCGGAGGGCCATGGGATTTGGGCGTTGCAGTTTTTTCGCACTAGTCATCCTGGTTGTGCTTGTTCGCGATGTTGCACCTATTCCGCAACGTCGGATCCGAGGCACGCTCCGAAAGGCGCCAACGACAACCCCCGCGCCAATCCTGGCCAGGTCGAGCCCGAGCCCAGGACTGTTGCATACTCTGGGTGGGGTATTAATCGACGGGTGGGCGACTAACCTTCCGACGGAACTAGCCCATCCCCCCCCTCCTCCACCACCTCCTCCTCCTCCTCCTCCTCCTCCCCCTCCGTAGCCACTTTGGCTCAAGCCATTTTGGCTCAAGCCAGTTTGGCTCAAGAAGGCGTTGGTATCTTGTTGAAGGTTTCCCGGCCGCACTGCCACGAGCAGTTATGGATCCCCTGGGAAGGGGCGCATCTCTTTTTCATCTGTCGGACTCATGCGTAGGCCAGATTCTGAATTATTTCGATAACAAGGGGTTCCTTCATGGATTTGCGAATTTGCACAGGCTTTCGCGACGAAGTAGACGTCTTGCGGATGCAGCGTTTTGCATGCGGCAGGCGGTAGATGCCAGCGGGTGCACCCTCTTGAAAGATGCAGCTGCAGCACGTTTTGCGCGCTGCACCGCTCTGCAATCCGTCAACTTCGGGGGATGTGACAAGCTGACGTACCGGGCCGCGGAGCACCTGGCGCGCTGCGCTTGTCTGCAATCCGTCAACTTCGGGGAATGTTACAAGCTGACGGACAGGGCCGCGGAGCACCTGGCGCGCTGCGCCGCATTGCAATCCGTCAACTTCTTTGATTGCGGCAAGCTGACGGACAGGGCCGCGGAGCACCTGGCACGCTGCGCTTGTCTGCAATCCGTCAACTTCGGGGATTGTTACAAGCTGACGGACAGGGCCGCGGAGCACCTGGCGCGCTGCGCTTGTCTGCAATTCGTCAACTTCGGGGAATGTTACAAGCTGACGGACAGGGCCGCGGAGCACCTGGCGCGCTGCGCCGCATTGCAATCCGTGGATTTTGCCGGTTGCTACGAGCTGACGGACAGGGCCGTGGAGCACCTGGCGCGCTGCGCTTGTCTGCAGTCCGTCAACTTCGGGCAATGTTACAAGCTGACGGACAGGGCCGCGGAGCACCTGGCGCGCTGCGCCGCATTGCAATCCGTGGATTTTGCCGGTTGCTACGAGCTGACGGACAGGGCCGCGGAGCATGGCGCGCTGCGCTTGTCTGCAATCCGTCAACTTCGGGGAATGTTGCAAGCTGACGGACAGGGCCGCGGAGCACCTGGCGCGCTGCGCCGCATTGCAATCCGTGGATTTTGCCGATTGCTACGAGCTGACCGACAGGGCCGCGGAGCACCTGGCGCGCTGCGCTTGTCTGCAATCCGTCGACTTCGGGGGATGTGAGGAGCTGACGGACAGGGCCGCGGAGCACCTGGCGCGCTGCGCTTGTCTGCAGTCCGTCGACTTCGGGAGATGTGAGGAGCTGACGGACAGGGCCGCGGAGCACCTGGCGCGCTGCGCTTGTCTGCAATCCGTCAACTTCGGGGAATGTTGCAAGCTGACGGACAGGGCCGCGGAGCACCTGGCGCGCTGCGCCGCATTGCAATCCGTGGATTTTGCCGGTTGCCACAAGCTGACGGACAGGGCCGCGGAGCACCTGGCGCGCTGCGCTTGTCTGCAATCCGTCAACTTCTGATTGTGGCAAGCTGACGGACAGGGCCGCGGAGCACCTGGCGCGCTGCCCTTGTCTGCAATCCGTCAACTTCGATAGTTGTGGCAAGCTGACGGACAGGGCCGCGGAGCATCTGGCGCGCTGCCCTTGTCTGCAATTCGTTAAGTACGAGAGGTGTGGCAGTTCCTTGTTGTCGTCCTACTCCCTCCTCTACTCCGCCCGCCTTTCGTGGTAGTGAGCGCTTTCCAGAACTACAGCGTCGTGGTGCACTCCCCTCTCCTGCCTCGGGATCCTCGGGGCAGGGGCCTGGAGCGGTTTCTGTTGTGGCGCGTTCGGCCACGTCGAATCTCTTTGCTTTGAGGGGGAGTGCTCATGATGCTCAGTCAGTCTTTGTAGCTCAGGCCGGCGCGAAGCCCGTGGGTCGGAGGTCGCGGATCATGTTGATGATGGTGATGATGATGGTGCTGGCGGTGGTGATGATGATGCTTATAACGATGACGATGATGATGCTGCTGCTGATGATGATGATGATGATGATGATGATGATCATGACGAGGATGAACATGATGGCGACGATGCTCATGATCGTGATGGTGATGCTGGTGATGATGAATGGTTTTACTGCTGCTGCTGCTGCCGGTAACGATGACGATGATGATGATAATGATGATGACCAGGAGGATTATGTGATGATGATGGTGATGGTGGTGATGATGTTGATGATGATGATTGCGGTGGTGGTGTTGATGATGATGATGATGGTGGTGGGGGTGATAATGATACTGGTGATGCTGATGATGATGATGATGATGATTATAATGATGATGATGATGACGATGATGATAATGATGATGGTGATGATGATGACGATGATCATGATGACGATGATGATACTTATGAGGATGATGATGATGATGACCATGATGGCCATGATTACCATGATGATGGTGATGCTGATGATGATGATGATAATGATGCTGATGCTGATGCGTATTATGATGATGATGATGACGATGATGATAATGATGATGATGATGATGATGATGATGATGATGATGATGATGATGATGATGATGATTATGATGATGGTGATGGTGATGGTGATGGTGATGGTGATGATGATGATGATGATGATGATGATGATGATGATGATGATGATGATGATGATGATGATGATGATGATGATGATGATGATGATGATGATGATGATGATGATGATGATGCTGCTGCTGCTGCTGATGATGATGATGATGATGCTGATGATGATGATGATGATTATGATGATGATGCTGATGATGATCGTTGGGGCTGTGTTGGGGCTTTCTTGGCCTCCTGTGGGGCAGTCTTGGCTGTCCCTTGGGGGCCTCTTGGGCTGTCTTGGAGCCCTCTTACGCTGGCCCGGGGCTTTCTTGGGCCGTCTTGGGGCCCTCTTGGCCGTGTGGTGGGTGTTTGGGGGCCGTCGTGGGGCCGTCTTGGCGCCGCCTTGGGCCCGTCTAAGGCCGTGTTGGGTCCCACAGGAGTCCCTCTTGGGCCGTCTTAGGGCAGTCTTGGATGCCTCTTGGGTCATCCGTGGAGTCCTCTTGGGCCGTCTGGAGCTGACGGCAGCCCGAAAAGGCGGGAGTGCAAACATCATTGTAAAACCCCAGGGAAATCAATGCTTTTGGCTTCTTCTGACCCTGTTGGAGGTCCTCTTGTGGACATTGTGTGGCCTCTTGGAGACATCTTGGGCCGTCTTGAATCAATAGTTCGCCGCCTTGGGCTCATCTTGGACCGTCTTCGAGGCATCTTGGGCCATCTTGGTGTCCTTGGTCGCTTTCAAGGGCCGTCTTGTAAGCTCGGGACGCGTATCCAACGTTTTTAACGAGGGATCATGGCTTGGGCGGCCCTGGAGCGATTGGGAGCAGCGCCTGGGAATGCAGGAAGTGCACGATCATTGAGCAGGTGCGCATGGAATGAGGGGTCCAGGAGTTTGCAGCCATGCGGGAAGTACGCAATCTTCTGGCGGGCGCGCATGGAATGAGAGTGGAGGCCGTGGCTGCCATGCGGGAAGAGCACCACCCTCGAGCGGGCACGTGTGGAAGGGGGTTCAGGCAGCACGTGCCATGCTGGAAGTGCACCACCCTCGAGGGGGCACGTGTGGAAGTGAGGATTAGGCATTCGCTGCCATCCCAGGAGTGGATCACCCTCGAGCGGGCCCGAGGGCATTGGTGTCGGCACGCAGGGGCGGCGGCGCACGCAGGAGGCTGCTGGCAGAACTCCTAGAACTCTCCCCGACAGACCTCGGGGGTCCCCCCCCTCCTCCTGCTCCTCCTCCTCCTCCTCCTCCTCCTCCTCCTCCTCCTCCTCCTAACCGCCTACCTCTTCCCCCCCTCTTCCCTCCTCCTCATCCTCCTCCTCCTCCGTCCTCCCTCCTCATCCTCATCCTCCTCCTGCCCCCCTCCTCCCTCCTCCTCCTCCCTCTCCCTCCTCCTCCTCCTCCTCTCCTCCTCCTCCTCCTCCTCCTCCTCCTCCTCCTCAGGGGGCACGGTGGCGGATCCAGCGCGGGCCGAAGGATGGCAGAGGTTCTGAAGCCCTCGACGGTGCCGTCCGCGCCGACAGGGCGTGCGCGCCCAGAGGCCGCCCCCCCGGCGGGCGCCGCGCGCGCAGGCGTCATCGCCTACATGGTGACGGCAGTGGTGAGCGGCTACGCCAGCGCCAGCCTATACCAGGAGACTGCACTCTCTCTCTCGGCCCGAGTCTGGCTCCCTCGCCCCCCGGCCTTCTCCGGCCCCCTCCGCGCCCCGTCGCGGCGTCTCCTCCCCCATCGTGCCCCGCAGTGCCCCCCGGCGCGCCCACGCCGCTGTGGGCCGCCGCCTGGCTCTCTTGCGGCCGCTGGCCAAGAGAAACACATCAGGAGACCGTCGCTTCCACGGGCCCGCTTCGACCCGATCGCTCCGATCCGGTGTCGGTGCCAGCCGGCTCGATCCGAAGTTTGACCCCAGAGTCCCGACGATGCGATGCGGCCTGGCGCCTGCACGGCGCTGTTTGTGCATGCTGGCGCAGCCGACCCGATTCGACTTCGACTCCGCGCCGATGCGGCCCGCTCCGACGCGCCTCCGGGCTCGATCCGACTCTCCGATCCGAGGCTGGCGGATCCTGCCCTCCGCGAGCAGGCTGCGGCAGGTTCGCGCCGCGCCGGCGTGGCCGCGGCCCCCAGCGCGCCATGGGGACCCCTGCCGAGGGCCCACGGGAGGGTTCGCACGGCGCCACCCTTTTCAGAGCACCCTTCATGGGTTGTGTGGCCCCCTCGTGAGCTCTACCGAAAAAGCCCCAGTGGCAGTGTCCGCATGTCACCACACAGCCCAGTTCGACACATCCCTCACGTTTCGTGGCCCGATCGGGAGCTCCACCGACGAACCAGGTGGCAGGGTCCGCATGGCGCCATGACGTTCAGTTCGGCACACCCCTCACACGTCTCGTGGCCCCATCGGGAGCTCCTCCGAGGGCCACAATTGCAGGGTCCGCATGGCGCCAGAAGGAGGAGGAGGAGGAGGAGGAGGAGGGGGCGGAGGAGGAGGAGGAGGAATATAATAATAATAATAATATCATTCGTAATAATAGTAGTAATCATACAAACACTTCGGGCATTCATAGTACTACGAATAGTACGAATACGAGTGCGAGTTTTAATGATAGTGTTACTCACTTCAAACCTACGAATAAGAATGCGACTGACACCACTAATGATAAGATAGATATTAATGCGAATGCAGGTGATCATAGTAACACAACGAAAAGAAGGCAGCTATCGCCACACTACGAACAATATGAAGACGAACAAGACGATTAGTGTTAGTAAGAAATATAATCATGCGAATGCTACGAAGGCGAGTCATACATCTACGAAGAAGACGATTTACACTATTAACGCTAACAAGAATGCTCTCCATAATGATACTATTGCGAATAATAATAATGATAAAGCTGATCTAACGAACTATCATAATTGTACTACTACTACTACTACTACTACTACTAAGAGTCATAAGAATGAAATAACATTACGAAGACGAGTCACACTGATAAGACGAGTCTGACTAACACACAAACTTAATAAGACGAATTGTAACACATATGACTAATACTATTGAGACTACTGGTAATGATCACGATGCTAAGAATGATCGTAATGAGAGCACGAGTAAGACTTACAATAACAATAGTAAACACGAGCTGAGTATCATTAATACTAAGTACAATGGCACTACCACTAAACATAGCACGAACCGTACTACTACGAATAGTCGTAATACAAGTCATACTGGTAACATTACTGTTCAATAATACTAATCGCCATACTAGTACTGTTAATAGCATTCGTAATGTTGATGCCTATATTGGTACTATTCTGATTTCTATGCATACAGTGACTTATTCAATAACAATAGGAAAGCGACCAATATATAGGTACCACTCACACTACGAACATGATTAAACTTTAAGATAGTATGAATATTAATCCGAATGACAACACCAGTCGTAATTCTATTAAACAGAAGAGGACTCAGACGAACACGAATATTAACAATACGAACACTACGAAGAAGGAGACGAATCATACTGACAGTACTACTACAGCTGCTACGACTACTGCTGCTACTACGGCTACTACTACCACTACTACCACCACCACTAATATCAATCTTATTAACCATAACACCAGTACGAACACTAATGCTAATCATGAGAATCAGGAGGAGGAGGAGGGTGGAGGAGGGCGGAGGAGGAGGAGCAGGAGGAGGAGGAGGAGGAGGGGGAGGAGAGGACGAGGAGGAGAGGCGGAGGAGAAGGAAAGAGGAGGAGGAGGAGGAGGAGGAGGAGGAGGAGGGCGACGAGGAGGAGGAGGAGGAGGAGGAGGGCGACGAGGAGGAGGAGGAGGAGGAGGAGGAGGGAGGAGGGGGAGGAGGCGGAGGAGAAGGTAGGAGGGAGGAGGGAGGAGGGAGGGATGTAGGAGGTACGAGGTAGGAGGTAGGACTGGACTGGTCCTCCAGAGGAGGCGGTCGGAGGCCTCATGCATGGCCGCCTTTTCGTGGGGGGCGCCTGGGGCCCGGGAGGGCCGTCGTGCGCGACCCCACGCCGACCAAGCTTGAGTCCGCCTCCGCATTCTGAAGGGGGAGGAGTGGGTGGAGCTGGGCTACAGGCCCCGCCCTCCCCAGCACCGTCCCGTCTTCGGAAGTGGGGGGTCGGAGAAAAGCCTGGCCGTGGAGGGGGAATTGGCCAATCGGAGGAGATCCGGAGGGCCTCTCCGATTGGAGCTCTTGCATGACCTTCCGACCGAGGCCCTGCCAGTGCATGGCGCAGATGCGTGGCGCGGCGTCGGAAGGAAGGGGGGGAGAGCCATTCCCAGGGAGAGGAGGGGGGGAGGGGCCAATCCACCTGAACCTCAGCGTGCCCAGCCTGGCTCT